GCAACTGTGAATCTGGATGATGATAAAGGAGCAGGGCAACTGGTGATGCATCTTTCTTAATCACTATCACTACGCTACATGTCGTTATATTATGACGCGGTAACGATTAGACCCACTGCACTGCTTATTTCCTTTCCTGCTAAGCTTATCTTTTCACTACAGGGCACTGCTTTCTTTTTGTATTGCTTTGAAATAGGCAATAAAATAAGCTTATGCTTTCCTTGGTGTCTACGTCCTTCCTGTTGACCCAGTCAGTAGTGAAAAAAAAGGTAAAAAATAAAACGCAAGTGAAGGTAAGGTCGCGCAAGGGAAGTTAAGGAAACGGGGAAGGGGAGGGAAGAGGCACAGGGAGGGAACAGAGTGAAGGGGAGTGAGGGGAAAAAATAATAAAAATCTCTCTGGAGGAAGACCAACATCTTAAAAGCATGCCCAGAGGGATGCAAGGGAATTTGCAAATGTGATCAAAGTTCTCGAGTCCTTACCCTGGAGTTCTCTAAGGCTCCTATCCACCAATAAAAGTCATCAACACGAAATATCTCCACAAACAAACAAACAACAAAGAAACAAACAAACAAAAAACCCATATCATGTATTTTGGGGTGGTGCCATTCAGAACGGCAGTTTGGGATTTTCCATATTGACTATTTACAAAAAAGGTAAGGTGGAGTATCTCCCTTACATTTCAGACACTCAATGAGAAAGTCTGCACAACATGAGAAACTAAAATGGAAATGGAAATGGAAATAAGGGAAAGGGAAATGGAAATGGAAATAAGGGAAAGGGAAAGGGAAAGGGAAAGGGAAAGGGAAAGGGAAAGGGAAAGGGAAAGGGAAAGGGAAAGGGAAAGGGAAAAAAAACCTTGCTCTTAGTGCCTAGAGAGGATGTTCCACCGTACATCTGCAGACTTTCTGGACAGCAGGTTTTATCTTGAAATGACTAATTTCCCTCTGCTGAACAGAAATGTCAGTTTGTTTCAGAAGTTCTTCAATTCTACAGAGTTCCCAGAAATCACTGATTGCAACCCTCCTTTTACCTTGGCATTTTACCTCAACCTTTATAGACGTCACAGAGACCAAAGCACGGCTGAACAGATTTCACGGTTGGGCTGTGGTTGGATTTGATGATCTTGAAGCTCTTTCCAACCTGAGCAATTCTACGGTTCTGTGATCCCATATCCATTCCAAGTCCATCCCATATCCAGAGCCCATCCCATCCATATCCCATTTCCCAATATCCCATCCCATATCCATATCCCCACATCCCAATACCAAATCTCACATTCCAATCCCACATTCAACATCCTACCCCACGTGCCAATCCCACATCCTATATCCCACATCCCAATTCCAAATCTCATTCCCAGTCCCTCCTCCCAAGCCCATCACCCACCTGTCCATCTCAATCCCTCATCCCAGTCGCAATCCCTCGTCCCCAATCCCAATTCCGATCCCAATCCCACCCCCGATGGCAATAGAGAGCACCCCGAGCCCCCACCAGCAGCCGCTCCGCCCCGCGCCCGGCCTCTCATTGGTTGGCGGCAGTTCCGGCCCGCCTCTGGTCTCTGATTGGTCAGCGGCAGCACCGCCGGCTTCGATTGGCTGAGGCGCAGAGCGCGGGAGCGGCCGTTGCTTCCGGCTCGGAGCTGACCGCCTTTCCTCTCAGACGCCGACGGCCCCGCAGCCGCAGCCGCAGCCGCAGCGCGCCGGAGCTGTCCGGGCAGCACCGAGACGGAACCGCGGCACGGCGGGAGCGGTGCTGAGGAAAGCGGCGCCGGAGGTGTGCGGGAGAACGGCTCC